AATTCTATTCGACACAACTTGTCCCTACACAATCGATTCATGCGTGTCCCAAACGAGGGCTCTGGTAAAAGTTCCTGGTGGGTAATCAACCCCGATGCGAAGCCAGGAAAATCTCCTCGGCGTCGAGCCGGAAGTATGGAGACAAAAGTATACGAAAAAAAGAAGAACCGCGCTAAAAAGAAGGCGGAACAGTTACGCGCCCTCGAGCAAGGAGGAAACAGTCCAACGGCCAGTAGCGATGGTGATCTGCTTACAGAGTCGCCTGTACCAGGCTTTCAGCTAAGTCCTGAATTCGACTTCAGACCCCGGGCCAGTTCCAATGCCAGCAGCTGCGGCCGCCTCTCGCCAATACAGGCCGTAGTCGAGCCGGACCTTCACGACAACCAGGTCCCGCCCATGTCGCCAATCCCCTGGAACCCGGAGATGGAGACGGAGGTGGGTTCAATTGACAGCTTCACGGACCAGCTCGTTGATTCCCTACCCGGGAGCATGAGCCTGTCCGATAAGAGCCTCCAACAACATATGATGCAGAGCAGTTCAGTCCACCGATACACAACTGGAACACCGGGCGCCGCCCAGGCAAGCGCCTACAACCAGTATAGTGACTATACCGCTCCTCCACCACCGCCTCCACCGCCCTATCCGGAGCATATGCGCACGAGCCCACAGACCCAGTCCGGCCACCCTAAATCGGCCCAGTCCCAGACCGGTCAGCAGAACCAGATGACCACCATGGATGCATTGTCGATGTCCAATCATGACGGCTATGGTGCGGTCAGCCTGGGTAGTTTGCAGAACGGGCTGGACCTGTACGGCACTTCAGATTCTCTGCTCAAATCGATGGTCACCGCCGACCCTCAAGGTCAGATTTCTAGCCTGTCCGACGCTGGACAGATGGTGCAACAAAGTATTCAACAGCAGCAACAGCAGCAACAGCAGCAGCAGCAACAGCAGCAGCAACAACACAAGCAAATGCAACAGACACAGTCGCGGCCACCGATGCAGCTGCAAGACCCTTCTCAAGCTCAATTGCATACCATTGCCACATCCCGTGCCGGCCAGGGAGGTCACCCTTGTGGCGTGACTGTGGGTGCTGGACACGAGAAAAAGCCAATCGGTTTAAGTCCCGTGGTAACCGGGTCAGTGGTTTCCCAGCCCGGTAATCAAATACTAGCCGGGTACACGCAACCAATGTCCAAGGTACAGCAGCAACCACCCCAACCACCCACGCAACAGCAAACACAGCAGCAGCAACAACAACAACAGCAGCAACAGCAGCAGCAGCAGCAGCAAGTTCATCGTTCCCAATCACAGCCAACCTCGACTCAGTCAAAACTCGCTCAGTCGGGTCTCCTGCCACAACTAATGCAGTCTGTCCCAAATAATTCTATTTTACGGGCTGCTTTAATGCATAACACCCAGCCGTTAAGGACTCAGGGAAACACGGTGAATATGCTGCCTTACAATCAATACAGTAGAGACATATATGGTAACACCATAACGTCGTCCTACGGGGACACAATGGCCGGCCTGGTCAACAATATTAACACGTCGTCTACCTCCATTTCTGACTGTCGTATGGTGAGCGCGTCCGGGGCAAACCTAAGGAGTACGAACTGTCTGAACGGCAGTATTCGAAGTAACTTGCCACCTATGGGACCCCAGTTGGCAGGCCTACAGGCACGGCACCTTCACGGACAGTCAGGAGGAATGGAACTGATTGGCCATCAGGATTCAGGTAATTCCAGTTGTCAACAGAGTAATTTACCATGCGATATTGACTTTGAAATGCTATGGAACAGCACGAATTTGGAATGTGACGTTGCAGCAGTTATCCAACACGAGTTAAGCATGAACGAAAACCTGGATTTCAATTTCGACCCTTTGCCAGGATAAATAAAAAGTTCAATAATATATATATATATATATATATATATATAATCTTCGAAAAGACGAAGAAGGATAAAATGCATGAAAAAGATTCTGGGTTAAAATTTTTCATCCTAGGCATGGATAATGATGGGCATTTTATAACATATATTTATATATATATATATATATATATATATATATATATATATATATATATATATAAGCAGGAGAAATGAATGAAGACATATAGAAAAATATGAGGAAAAAAAATATAATAAAGAAAATGTTAATTAAAAGGAAATAAGGCAGAATTAAAAAGAAAAGAAACGGTTTGACTATATTAAGTCGAGTATATATATATATATATATATATATATATATATATATATATATATATATATATATATATATATATATATATATATATATATGTATGAGAACGCAGCAATAGTAAAAGACACATCCGATAATGATATAAATAAAATGAAAAAATCGGGATAGATATTTTTTTCTCTTTTTTTTGGTGGGGTTGGGTGATAACTTTTGTTTTATAATGAACGAACTATAATCAAACACTCGGATAGCAAAAAGGCTAAATAAAGGAAAGAGAGAAAAAGAGATAGAGTGAGAGAGAACGAGCATTTGTGCAAGAGAGAAAGAAAGAGAAAAAAGAGCATTTTTGTTTGAGAGAAAGGAAGAATGCATGTGAGGGATATAGGCATAACAGTCAATATATAGCACTATTGTTTTCTCTTGGAAAAAGAAAAAGAGAAAAGTACATTTAAAAAATGTAATTAAGGGAGACAACTCACTTATTTTCTTCCTCATTTAATTGGCGCAAAATGCTTTTGGTTTCATTGATATGAAAGATACTCTGAATATAAAGACGATACTCGTATAAGAATCTGAAACCAAGGAATTTGAAATTATGATAATATGGAAGTTGATATCTGGGAATATCTTCAAGTAGTGGACAAAAATGAAATTGTTTATTCATGTTCAAACAAAATGGTCAACGATTATTTCCCCATTTCTTTTTTTGTTTTCAGAGGTTGATGATCTTACCTCGCTAAATATAAAAATTAACAAAGAAAGAAAAAGAAAGACAAGATTATAGACAATACAAAGCCAATACATTTTGTTTTGGCGAAAGAACAGAACACTGATTTTTTTTTTATTTGAAAAAAATCGCATAAAAATGGATGAAACCAATTTTGTACATTAAATAATTTTTGTGAACATTTTTGAACATTCTCCGGGAAAAAAAAATACAACCAAAACAGACATTGCAATAAAAAAAAAAATTAAAAAAATCGGGGTCAGACCTTAACCTCTCTACTGATGTCCCTTCTTCACAAAATTCAACTGATATGAGACCAGTGCTTCCAAGGAACACTTAAAAAAAAAAAAAAATAAGAAAAAAAAAAAAAAAAGAAAAAAAGTCACTTGTGGTCGAATTTCAGCCTCCCAAGGTAGACAACTTTTGAATTTCAACAAGTTGTTTCTTTTGTTTTTTTTTATTGAGTTTATTCATTTCTTTTCGGTAGACATGCATTTACAAAAACTTTAATAGACTGAAATGAAGACATTGCTTTTAATAGGTTGTGCTCAATCGGTCATTCCGAGAGAAAACACACACACACACATAACAACAGCTTACAATCATAAATACCTATATGAATTAATATGACACACACACACACACGCGCGTAAATATCAAACAAGATGCATATTGTCTTCATATAAACGAGGGGAAATATATATGTATATAGGTAACGGTTGAAACTTGTTCAAAGGCATAACTGACTGCCGTTTGACAAGGTTTGAGGTTGTTAGTAAACAAAATGGAGAATGTAAACTCTTTGCAATGACGGAAATTGGAAATGAAGCCAGAAACGAAAAAAATAAACTGAACGAGAGTTCGACAAATATTAATGAAGATGGAGATAAGGCTGTAGGCATGGATAAATCTGCCCATGGGTAGCCTTAGTATCTGACCTTTGAACTTTATATATGTCTGTTCTGGGAGGTGGTAAAGTCATTTTGTTTCTCATGTTTTTTTTTTTAGTGTCCTACTTGGGAGAAAAACGAAGCCAGACAAGATTTAAAAAAAATTCGATTTAAACAAATATTAAAAGAATTAAACGAACCATTCAAATAAAAAAAAAAACACTTTATATATATATATATATATATACGCCCCCTCTCACACAATGATCCCAAGTTATTAAAAAAACGTGTAAAGTTTTGATAGGCACACCACTGGTATATATTTGGTTTACATTTTCTTAATACATTTGTATATATGATTGTCCGTATCTGATTTGCCTACCTGCCTTCATTAATTCACAACTCTAACCACCACTACTACCATCACGGCTCTTAAAGCTCCTACATTTATTCTTATTCCTTACGTCTACTACCACCACGACCATCGACAAAAATAAAAGTACTAATATTAGTACGAGGGCGAATATAAACACACGCTCACATACACACAGTCAGATTTTCAAAAATATGTATTTTCTTGACTATACAAAAGGTTGTACGTTATGGTGGGTGTGAGGAACGGATCGTCGTAGTCGAGAGATAAGTTGTTTTAGAAATGAAATGGTCGTTTCTCGATCGAGTCTCGCCGTTGGAAAGTCGGAAGAAATACATTTTTTCTGCCTATTCTGCCCAATGTCTTTAACAAGTAAAAGGAACTTTTATTCGGAAAGTTGTGTATCTTTATAATTCTTTAAAGACGATCGAAGTACACAAACCAAATGGAGAAATTCATTTGTTTGTTTCACGGTTTATCAAACCTTTGCAGGTAGAGAAATTTAACGAGTCACTCTGCGCACCTACGAACATGTAAACTCCTAGCTGCATTCCCTTTTACAGAGCCAGCTATATATGAGGCATCATCACGTACGTATATATGAATTTAGACAAACTGATCAATTTACTTAAATCCTTAACAAAATCAAGTTACTTAGTTTATATTGGCCAGAATATATATATATATGAATTACATAAAAATGAAACTCAGTTATATTTATTTATATATGCCATTTCGCTTTTTAAAATTTCCTGGAGCTTGTCAATGCTAAAAAGTTATAATGTTGACAAGCTCCAGGGAATTTATCAAAAGCGAAATGACATTATATAAATGTTTAAAAATTAATTTTCACTTTTTTATTAATTCATTTCTATCTTTTTGTAATAAATATATTGAATTCTCTTTTTGGATCACTTTTAATATTTTGTATTAATAGGATAATTCTTGGATTAATTACTAAACGGTATTATACCTATATATATATATATATATATATATATATATATATATATATATATGAAACATTTCTCGAAGTTAACCTGTCGAAAAAGATAATATTTATAAAAATAAAAGACAATAGGAAAACTGTAATCTTAGCCAACGTGTTTCGTCCAATATGTATTTTTTCGCTTTTGTCTTGAAAAAATTCCACACTGGACAAAACTTTTCTATTTTAATATTGCAGTTTTTCATGTTTTATTTTGTATATATATATATATATATATATATATATATATATATATATATATATATATATATACAGTCAAATAGGATATAGAATTCCGACAAGGTTTTGAAAAACTGACAAATGGAAAACCATTACATTGAAACTAGATTTGATTATGCGTTTCGCCTTTCTAGGCTTCACCAGATACAAAAATTAAAGAAATGTGCATGCGTATATTTGTGCGTGTGCTTAAATAATAGATTATTACAAATTATCCCCTTAATTTTGGTGTTTCTCGTGAGGAAAGAAAAGAATGTACATAAAAAGTCGAACACTTTCATTCGTTTCTTTCGTCACGAGAAACACCACCTTAGCTGGATAAGTAGTGATAAACTGTTATTTAAGCATACACACAAATACACAAACACATACACTTTCTTTCGTTTTTTAGTTCATGTATATATATGTATGTGTGTATAGAATATATATATATATATATATATATATATATATATATACTAATATTATCAATATATACATATATATGTAAGCAAATATATGGATATAGATCCGAAGTAAAAAAAAAATATACGGAAAAAACAAACAAAAATCCTAATATGCAATTAGCTTGTTTTTTGTTTAATATAATATAAAACGTATGGATCCATCGATTTTTTCAGACCATCTTCAGGACATATTCATGAAAACATAATTAACATGTTCCATATGAATTCATTCTATTCTATCTGTTTTTTTTTTTGAATATGAAGATGATGGAATATTTACCCATACGTCCGACGTTGACATTATATTCAACATTAAAACAGCATAATTGCATATTAGGATTTTTGTTTGTTTTTTCCGTATATTTTTCTTCATACATATATATATAAATATTTTAATTATTTTCTTTTTTAAAATATATGATTCCATCTCGACACATAAATTTCAAAACTGAGACTAAAGTTGTAAATTTAATTATAAAAATAAAAATTAACACACACACAAACACGCACGCACACACACACACACACATATATATATATATAATTATTATTACTATATAAACTATATTGTTAGATAGATAGATATTCACATTTCATTGAATACGAGAGACAAGGTGCTTTTATTTAGTTTTTTTTATACAATTTCTCATGCGATTTAATTATAAACTAAATTTACACCTTTCTGACTGTTAAAAAACAATAATTTTTTTATTTAGATAGAAAAAATTAAATAATGCAAATATTATTTACGAATTTAAATGCCCATTAAGGAATTGTATACCTGATCAATCAAAATTCGTAAATAATTATATAGGCCACACTACAACATGTTTGACACGAAGACTCACTCTATACCTTTCTGACAATAGCTCAATTAGATCTCATTTAAATATTCATGGAGACCTACTGGACACTATTCGAACATACTTGTTGACAACACTAATATAATAGCATCATCTACATGCAAAAAAAAAAAGGCTAAAAATAATGGAAGCCTTTTTAATAAAAAAATATATATATTAACTTT